CTTTAATATATATATAGATTTAATAAAATTTATTAGTAGATCATGACAAAAAAAAACATAAAAATCAATGGCTTTATATTACTATTTATTGTGTTAATGAATTCTTGTAATATTATTTTTGGCCCTTGATGCTATAATGTCTGTGTTCCGTCCCTGATCATGATATTATTCAGAGGGTGAATAATGTTAGCAAACTTATATGTCGTATGTGTGTGTGTGTGTGTATATATATATAAAGTATATAATATTTATATATAAACTAGTACAAATAGACAGCAAACAAGTGCATATATGAACCTGTTAAATTCACATATGAACTATATGTTCATATGTGAACCTGTGTAATTCACATATGAACTATTTAACTTATTCACATATAGACCCGTATGATTCACATATGAACATGTATGATTTACATACGAACTAATTAACTGATTCACATATGAATTAACTAACTGATTCATAAATGAACTATGAGTTCACATGTGCACTTGTTTGCCGCCTATTTGTAGAAATTATAAAATTACCTTTCAATTTTTCGTTTAACCAGTCAAAACGGTAATTCTTGACTAGTCAAAACCGTAAAATCTTTGACCCATTAAGCCGCAATTTTTGACCAATCTTTGACCATATGAAGGGTTAGAATCACTTCTTTACTTCTCAAATACTTATTAGTTCTCAAATGAACCTCTCCACATATATATATATATATAAAGGCACATTCAAATGAAAACCGTGCATTTCTAAGAAACCGTGTAAACCAATTTCGACCAATAGAAAAATTCCATTTTTTTTCTAATTAAAATTAATCAATAAGGGTATTTCAGTCATTTACAATATTTTCTATTAAATATGAAAGTTATTAATAAATCTTAATTAAAGAAACATAATAAAGAAAATTGTATAAATGATAACATTTAAATATTTAATTATATTATAATATTAAAAATTGGAATTTCATATATTGTAATCTGTAAGAATCAGCAAACGAGTCTTGATGAAACAATTGAAGTGTATAATGAAATCATCAAATCGTAGATGAACAAAAAAAATCCAGAAATGAAACATGTTTCATGAACGTGAAACTGGTTCATGTTGCAAATAAATTATGTGAACCGAAACATTTTCATGGTGAACTCGTTGCATTGATTGTGTAGTTGATCTATTTAGTTGGTGAAGAGGAAAATGAAACCATTGCATTTTGTATTTGGTGCGTCATGAACTAAGTGCATTTTGTATTTGGTGCGTCATGAACTAAGTGCATGATGAAACGATGAAATGATTTTAATCTGCTACAGAATCTTGAAAATTGTAACCTGCTCTAGAATCTTGAAGATTGTAAGGCTTAAAGGAATGGATCCATCAAATCAGTGATGAAATAAGAAAATTATTGTACATGAAATAGGTTTCATGAAAGTGAAACTGGTTCATGGCGTTATTGAGCATGACTAGTGAAACGGTTGCATAATGTATTTGGTTCGTCATGAAATAATTGCAAGGCTTAAAGAAATTAATGCATCAAACCAGAAACGAAAGGAATAAAATAATTTTGCATGAAAAAAGATTAATGAAAATAAACTAATCTTGGAAGAAAATAATTTTGCATGAAAAAATATTCATGAAAGATCGAGTAGGATGTTACCAAATATTAAATTTTGTTTATCATTTATGCTCTTACTGTTGAAATAAAATAAATCTTTAATATATATATATATATATATATATTTTTTTTTAATTTCCTAAAATAAAGTAAACTAATCTTGGCCATTGATCAAGAAAATGGATGGATGAGATTAGTTACACGGTTTACACAAATGGAACCGGTTTGTATTTGAACGCTCATATATATATATATATATATATATATATATATATATATATATATCCATGAGTTTCTATTATTACTCTCAGTCTCAGGCAAATTATCATGTGAGAAGGAGAGTGAAGGTGAAAAACGTAAAAAGAGATTTGTACTCTTGATTACCTTTAATCTCAAAGTCACTCATAAAACACGTTCGATACAAGGATTAATCTAATACATCTTGATATATCTCATCCTAATATGTGTCCAATAATGAAAATATCTCTTCTTACATCATAACCCGATCCTTAATCTCATATAATACCATAGTGACATAATAAAATCAAAATGCAAACACTAAAAAATAAAAAATAAAAAATTCAAAGAACACCTTACAAAAAGCTTGCATTGGACCAAGACATGCCATAATATAGTAACGTCACCTCATAGAAGAGTTTTATCCTCTAAAACTCATGACACTTATATGAAGCAATAAATTGTAATTTTTAGTATATAAATATTATATATTTCAAAAAATATAATTTTTCTTTTTTAAACCAATAATAAAAATTTAATGAAATATAATATAATTAACACGACAACTACTTAATTTAATGATAAAAGTTAAATTCGATGCTTTAATGTTTAATTAAACAACATACTACAACACAAATCTTAATTAACAAACTGTGACCATTTCCTTATAATTAGAGAGCTAATTAACCATGCATCAACTCTCACCTAATTACACCAAACTAATTAACCCCAATTCTAGCTAAATCCAGGCATGTTGTTCCAGCAGCATGACCCCATGGTCCAGTCATGTTCTTGGTCGTGGTCGTGGTCGTGGTCATGGTCATGGTCCGTCTCTGTCGTTGCAACCGGAGAGCACGAAATCTCGACCTGGTTGTCGGCTCCAACCATGTTCCTGTTCGATGCATCGACCGGTTTCTTGGTCGATGCATCTTCACTTCCGCCATACCAATCTTGAAGAGACCCGGTTGGGAAATCGAGCCAACTCGAAAAATCATCGTCCATCGCATTTATCTCTTCGAATACGTCGCTTCGGGGTTTTACTCCTATCTCTAGATTAACCAATTTCAAGGGGAAACAAAGCATTTAGATATATAACACATTTTAGGTAATGCTGATATTACATGATTATGATCAGATGAAAACTCACCAATTGACGAATGGCCCGAGCTCGAGTCCTCGAGAGTAGGCTTGTTCTCTCGTGGTTCGAAAACCGATTCCAGTGTCACGTTTTCGGGTTCTTCCATTAGGGAGTATTCATGTGTGAATTTTTCTTTGCCCTTATCGGCTTCTGGCGACATGCTTTCGTTAGAAAGTATCTGAGACGAGCTTAATAGAGCTCGGGATTCGCCCAAAACGTCCTCCAACAATCCGCTATTTCCGGGAGGGGATATGTAAGGGGAAATCGCGTTATCGCCATCGTTCGATGGCACAATCATATGATCGTTCACGGTGTTGGAGGAACATGTTGGCGTGATCGCTTGAAACGATGATTGGATGGAAGGGAGCTCGTTTTCTACGGTTTCAAACAACCGAACGTCGTTGAAAGAGGCTTCCGTCGTCGGTATCTGACTCATCCCATGATTCGCTGTCGGGAAACCCTGATTGAAAAACGGCATCGAAGATCGGGAACTCGTCGCAAATTGCGCGTTCGAATGCGACGGTAAGGACAAGGCGGAAACACCACCGTTGGTGTCCCGAAGAATCTTGAAATGCGACTGTGAATTCGGAAGATATAACGGCGTGTTGAAAACCGGACCATAGTTTATCGGATCAAACAACATCGGAGAGATCGAATTAAGAGCCGTGTTTGCATGGTTTGACGAAGACGATGATGATGAAAACGGAAGCGTCTGGTTTTGTAGCGATGGTTCGTGGTGGCGGCGATGATGATGATGGTGTTGCTGGAAATCGACAGGGTATATCGGTAATCCTGCTCGTAAACGTCTTTTCAATCTCGTATTCCAATAATTCTTGATCTCATTATCCGTTCTTCCCTGCAACTACAACAACAACAAAATAGAACATATAACAAGACATTCATCAAATCAAATACACACACATATATATATATATATATATGTTGTATGTATGTATATATATATATATATATATGTATATTGGAGATGGAGGAATTACATGAAGGGCCATACGCGCCCATTTGTTGCCGAATTTGGAATGAAGTTCGATGATCTGGCGTTCTTCTTCAGGAGTAAAAGCTCCTTTTTTGAGATTAGGTCTTAAATGGTTGGCCCATCGGAGCCTGCAACTTTTACCGCATCGCATCAACCCTGAATTCCGTTGAACAGCGTTCCAATTCCCTTCGCCGTGTTTCTTGACATACTCCATTAAAACCGCATCTTCTCCAGCCGTCCATGGGCCCTTCTTCAAAATGGCTCCACCACCTCCTACCGTGTTTCTCCCTGCAGAGGTCGCACCATCTTCTGGAGGCATCTTGGGTTTCAATAAAATCCCATGAAAGGCGTTAAATTTGCTGATGGAAATTGGATGTATGAAAGTGGTGATCGTTAATGGCGGATGGTAGAGAGAGAAGAGAAATTGGAGGAGAGAAATGGAGCTTAGCAGGAATGGTGGCTGGAAGTGGAAGGAGTGGTTTTTGTGTGTAAACTTTTTATAGGCTTCAGATTATATTTCGAAGAACCCTCTGTTTTTGTGATTTTAATTGCAGCATCTTTTCCTTATTTTTCGTAGCATTCTCTCTTTTTTCTTTTTCTTTTAAATACAATTAATATTAAATTAGTAAAATTAAATTTATTCTTTTATATTTTAATAAGATAAAATGGAGAAAAAGTTCCGGTTAATTGAGAATTCTATTCGATGATTGTTTCTTTACCTCTTAATAGTTTTATTAAGTGGCAACCTTTGAATCGTTAACAGGCGAATCTTGTTTGGCAAAAAAAAAGTGTGTCTCTTAATGGTTCTAACACCTTTTGAATGATTTTGTATTTTGGGTCTTTCTTAACCATTCAGCACCCTAATTTTGTTGTAAACAATTATATTTCATTTTGTATTATATCATGAGAATCTCTTAATTATTCTGACCACTTAATCATTCTGTATCAAACCATTCAGCAACTGTCAAACAGCCTCTTAGTTACACAAATTAGTGCGAAAGAAGAAATAAAAAAAATGTTTTTCCGATACTAAAATAATATTGTTTTATTCAGATTTTCGTTTTATTAAAAATAAAATATAAAATAACTTTTTATATACAAGCAATTGTCTATTTACATACAGAGTAAAATTACGTTTTTAGTTCTTATATATCGTTGAAAATTTGTGATTTTGTAAAGCTTATTTAATTGTGGCTTAATGGTTAAGATTATGGCTTATTCGGTCGGTCAGTTAAAAAGGAGTTGCATAATGCATCCATAAACCATTTTTTTCTCACTACCCTTTGTGAAACCACGATCCCTAACCCTTCTTCCCCTCCTCATTACCTTCAGTTTTAGGGTTTATGCAACATGAATCATTATTTCTTCTGTGTATATGTAATAAATAAGTCGTTCAGATAAAAGAAATCATAACCTTGACCGACGTGGATAATATCCACGACAGACAAGACTTCTATCATCGAATGATCTTCGATATACACGACGATGATAATATCTACGGCACACGACGATAATGTCTATGATCGTTGATAGTCGAGACCTTAGATAAATTTTCTAAGATCTAATTAGCTATTATGCTTATTTATCCTCGACTAATACTAACGTACAGTCATTTTCGACAACCGTTATCCTGATCATCTATTGCAGTACTTGAAGGATTTATGATCCAAATCCACCTTATTAACACACCTGGAATAACTGACGACCGACATTCAAAGACATTATCAAGATACAACTATTATCTTCATAAAGATCATTAAAGGAGAAGCGAAACAAACCATTTCTCAAGCAACCGATAAAAGGAGATATGATCATCAGCCACAACGAGAACAACACTACGAACATAAAAGACAAATTTGTTTGATTAAAGTTTTTAACATTCTATGTCGTTTAAACGTGAAATTGATATATATATATATATATATATATATATATATGAGTTTAAAATGAAAACCTTCTAATTAATACAAACGTTACAAATTAATCTCAACCGTCCATCTAGTCTAATGACTATCTTATTTCTTAAATATCTCGATTGTTTACTGATCTAAAGCGTTAATCATAATGAATGAACTATGATCATCTTTCATAAATATTTAGATCATAATAAATACACTCCCATAATATTCATATTGGATTGGATTTTGGTTTTTTTTTTTTTTTGATTTGTGTTAATCTTTTAGTTTATTTAATTAATAAAGATATGGTAGCTTCAATATTCATGTAATATTTTTTTTAGTTTAAGATTTGTCACATCATATTTTGATGACCGGTTACTTATTTGGTGATCGGTTACTAATTCAACAGGTCAATCATGTCCTTAAATGAACGTAAACTTTAGTTAAGATTCTAAAACGATGATTTTGAAAGTTTGTTACCCAAAATAAGAATCATGTAAAAATTGGTTTCATTTTGATGCAATTTTCCCTTTACATAAACATCTCATTTGATTGGTTTGTACTAAATTAGATGTTTTGTATTTGAAACTCCCTCTTGATATATATTACTAAAAAATATAATTTGTGTAGATATGGAAAATCTTCGATTCCCCCATGGTGATTCCCGTCCTCGATAGGGATAGGGATGTAATTTTTCCTTTTCGAGGATGGAGACGATGATTAGGATTGGAGTCCTTGATACCCTCGACCATGTTTGTCATCTCTACATATAAATGATCTTTGAAAATCCATTTGATATCAATTTTATGTAACACCTTCATTTTTACGTCATTTGAAACAAATTCCTCTAAAAATACTCTAAAGTAATGGCTAAATTAAAATCTTAAACCCTTTTGCAACGGAAGTCTTCAAAATACGTAAATATGTAACTCAAAGCTAACTCGTCCTATACCAAGTTAAGTTACAGCCGATCCATACAAGAAATCTAAACAAAAGATCAAATGTAAGATAAGAGCATGCAAGTCTCTAAGTGTGTCATTTGTCCTTATCCAACCTCGAACTATCTGGCTCTAAGGTGCATGCTATAGTCAGCTTATAAAGCTCAGTGAGTTCATGGTTTGTGTGAACAAAAAAAATCATTTCGCAGCATACATATCAACTTGTAAACTTCATATATACCAAATAGTATGCATTTTCTGAAGAAAATACAACACTGAAAGAAAATAGATCTCATAAACTGTCTGGCAGGCATGAGTCATTTGGTCACTTGCATTCTCCGAGTTGTCCGACCTGCACCTGTCTGGACACCAATTATAGGATCGTGCCACTTGTCGTGTGACTTATTGATCAAATGACACCCGTTAAAATTGATCATAAAATTTTCATATGAAATAAAATGCTAGAGTTATTAAAAAAACAAAATAAACACATAGCATGCAACTGATCATAAAATAACATACATGTAAAATATATTGTATCATGTATGTAAACTGAAACATCATGCATACGTACACATCACAGTACAAATCATATAATGCTCGAAAATAAATTTATGCATAGGTATACATCCCATTATAAGTCTCATGAAAACTTACTTGATTGCGTATAGATTGACTACCCATAGCTCTTGACAAAATACATACATATTACATACCATCATATCTCATTAATTGCTTAATTTCTCCAAAAGTCAACTATGGTCAATTTGCCTAAAGTCAAACTCCATATCCAATCATCCTAATATGTCTCAACTTCATTAACTCCATCATTAAAATTTAAGCGGGTCAAACGTGTCAAAATTCAACCCTTTGTCAACTCGGTCAACCCCGACTAACTTTAGTCAAACCCCGAGTTTAAATCTTGTTGACGTCTCAAAACGTCAGAATGCTATTTTTATAATCTTATAAACCTGTTTTTCTAAGTTTATAAGCTAAGTTAATTAATTTACATAATTATATCTTAATGTAATGTGAAATTAATTAATCAACTTAGGCCCAAAAACTTAATAATTAAAAATACATCTAAAGAACCAATTCAGTTGTACTCTTTTAAGTAATTTGGAAAAATATTTTGTCCAAAACTCTAAATAGATACCTAACAAGAATATGGGCTCGTATATAATAAAATTTGATGGCTCGTAATAAAACAAAACCCAATAATACTTGGCCCAAGATACATCAGAGTTGGACCTAAACCCTGACTCCAAACTGCACCATATCCGACCCAGGTTCGGGTTTTTTACCCAACGCGAGTGCTGCCGTCGGCAACGACTTTCTCAGGCTGTTTGACCTCGTCTTTTGACCCTTTTTGCTGATTTTCCCCCTAAAACTCTAGAAAATGATTTTTCTCAATCATAGAAACAATAATCAATGAAAACCAACAAGTATTAAGTTTCATTTGCTCATTAAAAGTTTAGGTTCTAAACCTACTCGAAAATCAGTAAAAAAACGCAAAATCGGGCATTCTAAAGAAAAATCTAAGACATAAGAGTATTAAGATTAGATATAGGACTTAAAAACAAAAATAACCATATAAAGAAACCGATATTTGGTTGGGTATTTTACCTCAAATCGTCGATAAACAGAGATTTGGGATGGGAACTTTCGAGCTCCGATTTTTCTCTCGATTCTCGGCGAAAAGTCAAACTTTTGAAAGAAAAATGTAGAGGGCAGTCTCATCTACTTATACCTGTAATTTTTTTGCTTTTAAGTTGACTAAACGAGCCAATAGAAGCCTTCCAAGATCACCCATCGTTTTCAAATTATGAAGACTTGCATATCTGAAAAGTTTATAAAACAGGTCCCACTGGTTTGACATTGCTCCTGAACTTTCAGAAATATACATTCGGTCCCACCAGTTATTTTGTCCCTCACAATAAATTATTATTACAAACATGATCCCATCTATTCCTATCTTTTTCGGGTGACAGAAGCAAATGTCGATTTTCTATCAGCTTTTCTCAAGTTTATACCACTACAAACATGGAACAGCGTTTTTTTCCAGTCCGATGATGTTACTTATATAATAATTGCCAGTTTAATGCCGATCCAGTTAAAACACAAAATCCTTTTGAAAATTTATCTAATTTATATTTTGATATAGTGTTGTATCATATATGACACGTTTTAGAACAGAAACATCCTTAAATTATATCAGATAAATAAACAAATTAATTCCAAGTATTGTGGGCCAAATCATTGGGCTTTAGTTACGGAAAAGTCCATTTAAATATTGAGTTATTTATTGTTTAAAGAAACACGATAAATATAGCATTGTATTTAAATATATATTTTTTATTAACCTGGATATCCAACCCATTATGCGAGCCGACTAAACCTAAGGCGACCATCTGTTTTGCAGATAGCTTGGAGTCACCGCATTTGAATCTCTGTGGCCATAAGGGGATTTTTATTCCTCCTTAGATTTGAATCTGAGACATTCTCGTACTTTTGACTTTTGGAGCTAAGCTCAAACCAATCAATTATCACCCTTGTGGTTTTAAATATTCATGTTAATAGAACCATTTCTCATTATATAATATTTTCATTACTATGAAAATTAATTTTATGAAATAAGTCGTTCGATTGCATGAATGATAATTTTTACCTGTAAGAGGTTGATCGACAAAGATTAAACCACAATTATTCGAATGATGAAGATATTATTGATGAATGATTCGATTGTCGACATCTTTGTTGGAAAACGACCAGTTTTGTGAATTAGACATGTTGAAGTTCATTTGAATCACAAAGAAAACACATCACAGAAGATCACAGAAGATGATCGGACTGCTCTGATACTGATAGCAAGTCAGAAAGATGAGAGAATTCTTATATTCATATTTCTTAATTAATCACAAATACATAAGCCCTTTATTTATATCAGGAATTCTAACTATCTCAAGATCTAACAAATGTTTACTTAACTCGAACGACAACTAAATAACTACAGTGGAAATCTGAACTATTAGAATTACTAATACATCGCTACATCTGATAAAATTAAAAACCGTAAGTGTAAATTAGGTTTCGGACTTCAATTCAGTCGGGTTATGACCGAAAAAATAACCTCCTTACCAATTCCTAAATTATAAATCAAAGTGTTATTCGTTATCATACATTACAGGTTTGATCAAAATAACAGGTTTAACACGTATACTCATACTTTTAGTTATAATTTCTTTTAAACCAATCAAATCGTTTTGTCTTATTCAGTTATGACCAAATCATAATTCAATTTGAGAGTTTCTTTCATTTGTTTGCTTTTTGAAACATAAAAAAGGAGCACTCAAAAATAAATTTATTTAAAAGGTAAAAAAAAAGTTAAGCATACGATAGCAAATTAAAGAGGTGTTTGGGATTGTTTATTTAACTTATGGTTTTCTATAAAAGTTTTTATCAACTTATCATAAGTTATATTGTTTAACTTCTTATTAACGATTTGGAACCAGTATAAGCTGTTTATCTAAACACTCAAAAATGCTTATTACTGGTGTTACATTGGAATAAGTCAATAAATTGTTTTTATAAGCAATCACAAACACCTTCTAAAGAAAACAAATAGAGAAAAAAGGGGCTTAATTACTTAAAAACCAAAAAGCCCTTTTTTTTCTTTAACTTGTTAAACCATTTATATTTTTTTTATTAATTCAGATATCCAACCCAACCAATTAATCCCAAGACAACCACATGCTTTGCTGGTAGTCTAAATTCTAAAATCATCGTATTTGAGCTTCCATGATCACAAGGGGATTTTTATTTCTTCTTGGATTTGAATTTGATACCTCCAAACACTTTTAACTTGTAAAGTTTAAGCTTAAATCAATCAAGTACCAACCTTATAGTTACATAGATTTATGTATGCAATCTTACAAATAATAAACTAATATTGAATAGTTTTTAAAATACCCATTTAATTATTAACGAAATCACGTGTTTGTTGCATTTCAAGTTAAGAAATTTCATTAGAAGACGTTTTAATAAAATACAAAATAAAAACCTGAAAAAAATAACATTATAAAATTCAAAAGAAGAAAATACGATATTATAAGGGGGTGTTTGAGATTGTTTATAAAAATAACTTATTGATTTATTTTGGTGTGGTATCGGTAATAAACATTTTTAAGTATTTGGATAAACAACTTATACTGGTGTCAAACCAGTAATAAGCAGTTTTTGAAAAAGTTAAACTCTTGTAACTTATAATAAGTTGACAAGTACTTTTAATTATTTCAAATAAGCAATCTTAAAACACCCCTAAAATTAAGATAATAAAATTGAAAAGAACCAAAAACGACATTAATTAGTGAATGAAAAAGAAGGGAATATTTGAGTTTAGTGACCAGATTCAATGAACCAACCTTAATTTCTTCTATGTATTTATTCATCTCAACCATTAATTCTTCCTGAATGCGATTTCTTCATAGTTTTCTAACATGGAACAGGTCTGCTGCTGTTTTCAACGATTCGCTATCCTTCGTCAATCAGGTATCTATTTTATATATATGATCGTTGGCTGAATCTGAAAACGACAAATACTTTTGTTTGTTTATATATTTATGGTAAATTATGTAATACCCAGAATTGGTGATTTCTAGGTTTTTTGATGGTTATAAACTACACAAAATCGAACGATTAAATATCGAAAAAACTCAGAATCATGAAATGGGTTGGAAGAACCCTAATAATTTCTTCACACAAATCCAGATTTGATGGGTGAAATTATGTTTTATTTGATTATTGAAACCCACTTTTTGTTAACCGTTGTAGATTTATATAATTCTTGAAAGAAATTGAAATTCTGGAATTGAAGATTGTAGTTTGATTTCCAGAAGAACAGATGATTGGTTGTGGAGATATCGTTTATTTGCATAAAATGAAGCTCAGGGATCCGATCTAACGAAGAACACGAGTAGTTTCTGATGGAGTTCCCCTTTCCAACTTCAAATTTCATGATTACGACTTCATTTAGGTGAGAATTAATGTATTTTTATTGGTGGAATTAATAATTTGCCAGACCCATTCGTGATTGAATTCAAAAAAGAGGGTCTGTAGTTGATCATTATGAATGGATACAATTTGTTTGATTGTCTTTTAAAATGGGATTTGAATTCCACTGGAATGTTCAATTCGCTTTCCTGATGGAATTTCTCATTCCTACTCTGTGCTGGTGGGAGGGTGACATTATTAACTATACAAACCATTTAAACTAATCACAAACCTTTATTAGATAGATTCTTTTATCACCATACAATTAATATTGAAGACACAATAATAATTTTTTTTTTGTCTTAACTTCACATTCATTAATGGACGGTTACAAAAACATCAATCCATAATTATAGCTAAAATAATATGTTTATTTTCTTTTCCAAATTATAGATGATTTATTATTTTAATATGGTAAGAAATTTGGATGTTTTATCTTCAACATATATGTAGTCGTCAATGTTCATATGATGTATGTATTTTCACATGTGTTCCAATGTGTTCATAAAGCATTATCTATATACATATAATATTTGGTCAAAATGTGTTTACAAGCGAAACACTTTGATCATAGATTATTGTGTTCACATGTGAAAGTCAATTACATTAGTGTTCATAAGTTTTAATAGGTGCAGATAAGTGTTCCCGTATGTTCATATGTGAAAGCCATGAACTAAGATTAGTTAATAAGTACATATATGTTCATATGTATTCATAAGTGTTCATAATGCAACATGGATGATTCTATAAACTATAAAGAAAATGAATAATTACCGATTTGTGATTAATTAATTAATTAATTATCGATTTGTAACCGATTTGGACAGCTCTCCCAAAAATACCATGTTCATCTATGTTTTGTTATACTTCATTTTTAATTAATTACAAATATACCACAATTGATTTCATTCATAGATTTTAAGAATCAAGAGACAAGATTGGTTCACAAAGTTTAAAACACCAACTATTAGGTTAACAAAAGAACCTGCCCCCATATATATATAGTTGGGTTCATGTGAGATCAACCTGCTTCTGTGAGATCACATTTTTATACTTGAAATTTTACAGCAACATACTATAAAGATAAAAAAATCTGAACCTTCACAGCAAAAACACTGTAAATGTTACCTTCATAGTGTTTTATTGTTAAGATTCAAATATAAAAAAGTGGTCTCACAGGTTTCACAAAAATAATATGTTCTCATATGATTCCATATATATATATAGACTTGGGATCATATGAGACCATGGCTTTTTCGTGAGACCCGTAAGACCAATTCTCAACTCTTGGATTAGATCTACAATATCAATATTCATAATCATAAAATTGCCACGAGATTTCTCAATAATTACAAAATTGTCACCGTGCAATTTTAGACCATTAGATCGTTAGCTTATAAAGTTGATCAATG